CCCTACTTTCAATATGTTTCTGATTAAATGTGAGGTGTGATGGAAAAATAAAATATATGTTTAAGTTTAAAAATATAATGACAGTAAAAGACCCATTGCCATTCATTGTCTTTAAATATTCCCCCTTCCTTTAAACATACTTAGCACGTTTTTCTTGCCACTTTCTGAAGCATTTCTGAGGGTCCACTTTCCTGAGTGTCTTTAGTTGCACTGTTATGGCTGCCTCAATGTCCTGAATCAAACCAAAATGTTTACCTTCATAGCTCTTTTTACTTTGGTGAAGAGCCAGATGTTACATGATCCCAAATCCAGTAAAAATCCTGTTTCCCTTGGATGGCACTTGGCAGTACAATTCAATTTATACCACATTTCATAAAGACACAAAAGAGAACAACCAGCTTCAGAAAGTGGCAAGACCCCTGGTAGAAAGTGGAAGCATGACAGAAAATGTGTATTTGAAGTGAGAGGGAATGTTTGTTTTGAGGAGTATTAATGGCAATGTGCCTTTGACTAAGATTTTAAAATTGAAACAATCACCACATGTGTTGTGATCACACCTCACTCCACATAGCTCCCAACATCTTATCTAAAATGTAAATCTGGAGACTTCCTTTCTCTACTTGTAACATTCAAAGTGCTTATTTTTGAACTATAGGAAAAAGTTCAACTAACAAAAAAGTATAGTCGGGCTTATTCCTTCTACTTCTCCATCTCATTTCCCATTGTAGAAATACCGAACTGCTTTTGATTCTTTGATTACTTGCCGAGGCCATTCCATTTCTGTGTTCTCCTCGGCTAAGTCTATTTCTTCACCGAAAGAAACTCTACTTCACCCCATTCAGGTGTCCACTTGGATGACCTTTTACTTCTTGTGAGAGCCAAGATACAACTGACAGAAAAAACTCTCAATTGTCATCATCTTAGTGCCGACACCTTTTCTTTCTGGTTTCTTATTGCCATCATTCCATGATTTTCATCACGAGTTTACATGAAGTCTAGGGATTTCATCAGAAAGTCATGTTTTGTGCTCATCTTTTTATCTACCATATCAAGGCACAGCATTGGAATACAGCAGTCACATACTAAATGTTTTCTGAAATAATTAATAAAAGAGTCTGTGCTTCCATAAACATTTCTGGTATAGGACTACTATCTATATGCATTAAGTTTCAATATGTATAATCAAATCCTTTAAACTTAAAAGTGTATTTTTTCATTTTTTGAACTTTCTTTTAAATTCATGTATATATACTTACAAAAGCTTACTTTCTGATATGTCATAATTTTGATCTTATTGAATCAATTAAAAAATTTGTATCAAAACCAAGAAATCAATATTATCTCACTATGAATATTCATATTATTCCTTCTTACTTAAAAATGAAGAGTGCTCAGAATGTATATATCCCTTTTTATATATCGTCCCAGGTAATTAAAATTCTTCTGTCTCCCTTTCTATTTCCTGTGGTGTTTCAGCAAATATGGTCTCCTGCCTGAATGTTTCCCTCCACAGGAACTGCCCCTCTCCCATTTCCCACTGGAAGCTCGCTGGACTCTCATTAGTTCCTAAAGCTAAGTTCATCCAGCCTTCCAGATGTCCTACCGTGTGCAGTTCCCTGGATTAAACAAGAAGGGAGGCGGCGGTCTGCGCTGTGGTCAGACTTCATCACTGCAGGACATGTTTCTCTGGTATTCATAATGCAATTTGGATCACAAAATCAACTACCTGTCCAAAATTAGCAGCTTGTTCTCCCCCACCAAGACAATGACCTTTCTTTATGTAAAAGTTTTCATGAAAAAACAAATTTATGATAGAGATTGGGTAAGCTTATTGAAAATCTTCAAGTATTTGTAAGAACAAATTAAAAGGAACATGCTTATTTCCTATATTGAAACAAAGATAGGTAAAACAAATTGAAATTTTGCATGTAGAACTTGTATCTAGTCTGAATGATGAAACTTAAACATGCACACAGGAACAATAGCAGCAATCAAATAACAAACCAGAAAAACAAATTATAAGGTACATAATATCTTATACTTTCTATTTTTTATTGCTGCTCATCTTTGCATCAGAAATAATACTTAAATTTTATAAGAACCAAGATATGCCATGTAAAGGTACAAGATCTCAATGATGAATGTAACTGTATTGTATATCAAATGTACCATAAGAACCAAGATATGCCATGTAAAGGTACAAGATCTCAATGATGAATGTAACTGTATTGTATATCTAAAATGTACCAATAAAAATGTTAAAAAATAAAGAAATCCTAAAAAGAAATACTACTTAAATTTTATATAATTGCCAAAATTGAACAGCAGAGGGCAGAAAATAGCAAACTCTCTCTTGGAGCACACTACTCAACTGTTCTCATAATTTTCAAAATTAATTATTGCTCAGTTTACAATAAATATTACAGAAAGCATCATTTTCAAAATGTTAAAAATAGACTTTGGACGTATGCAAAATAATTTTCAGCATTTTTTTCTTTTACTTGTGTAACCATTTATTTTAGTCATTTTAAATTTATTACACTTAAAATAGCATTTGGTACTGAAAATATATATTATTTAAATAAGTTAGTGGATTGAAAAATTTCATGAATGATAATAGCAATGCAATTATTCCAATGTTGTAGGAAACTTTTCTAGTATGTGAAAGTTACATACATATATTGTAAATATGCATTAATAGAACATTGATTTACAAGGTATCCTTGCTGAAACTTTTGTTTGCACTCGTATACAAATAATTAGTAACTAGACTGTAATCTTTGCGCTTACATATTTATTAAAGAAAATGCTCTATGATTCAGCAAATTCTGTTTTATAGTATGAAACTCAGTTTTGAGTTCATATCTGCCCTTGACTTTGAAATAGGTTAAGATAAAAATAGCTTTTGAAAACTCTCTTTGAAATTCAATTTACATTGACCCACACTTTAAACAACACCATTTTCTCACATTCAAAACTGTCCCTCTTCTCTCTGTCTCCGGTTCTTTGTCTCTTTCTCTATTTGATTTCAAGTTATTTTCCATAAAATTGAAGATTTTTCTTGTGGAAACTGGAAACATTTAAATGGAGAAAAAAGAAAGTGATTGAAGATGTGTTTTTCATTTGCTATGTCCTAAGACCCGTTCTTTTAAATTTAAAAGATTTCAAATCATTTTTTGTGCTTAACGTCCTAAGTAACGGTGACATGTATGATTTATTTAATTATGGTGCAGTTTTGAGTGTATGCATACATAATCTTGCGTCTCATTATCTTTTTCATTCTTTGCAGGATACATGCCTTTGGTTCAGGGGACCCGCCTATTTATATATATATATATAGTGTGGAGTTCCTTTTCTTTTTTGGTACCGAGGGACTGAACTCGGGTCCTTGCGCTTGCGAGGCGGCAGCACCACTGGGCTACATCCCGGGCCCCGGAGTTTCTATTAAGCCTGAAATAAAGTTTGGTGACATTCGAAGGCGTTTTTACCTGCGGTACGCGCGCTCAGTTACGGATTAAGGGTGTTCGGGCCTCCTGCTCTGAGGAAGGGCGCTCACAGTGCGGGCCGCGGTCTCGGGCGCAAGGCCTCGGGCCGTTTGCTCGCCGCCTCCCGTCTGAAATGGCGGCGCCAGGCCCGTGGGCTCGTG